CTCAAATATCAACTTGTGACTACTCATTATCTGAATCTGATTCATTCCGAGAACCGATGTACTTTCTTCCTTCCTTCTTTCGGGGTAACAGTGGAAAAAGCTGCTATGACATCCTAAATCTTTAGAATGCAATGAATAATTCCGATTTCAAAACAGATGTAAACAGTTCTAAAAAGCGGTACTAATTGATTTCTTCCTTGGACTGTATCTGCATATTAGATGAACAACGTATGAAACCAGCTCATTTGGACAGTAGAATAGGGGAAGATCAACTTCCGGACAGTGAGCTGGTGTCTGAAAGTTACTTTGGAGAGCTGGGTCATTGATGGGACAAGTTGCTGAAGCTCATCATGGAGAAAGGTGGTTAAAGTTCCTTTCCAGATGTGTGATCTTCGTAAAATCTGATGTGTTGAAGGTAAGGTGCACTTGGCACTGACGAACACGATTGTTGTGCCCAATGCGAGAAAGAAGCATTTTCATTTGGAGTTATCACAATGCGAAGAGGATAAAGATCGTTGTAATATTGATTTAGACTGTCTGCCCTTTAAGCTACATGTTCACGCAAAATCCTCAATTCACCCAGGGAACCAAGTGTATGGTGGCCTGGATGTACTGCGGATTTTGTGTGTGTGTGTGTGTGTGTGTGTGTGTGTGAGTGTGTGAGTGTGAGGATGAAGTCTAAAGGAAGGTCAATCCAAATCAATATCATTTACGCTACTCCACCGCTCGCAACTTATTATAAGGTAAATGAGAATGTCTGTCATAGGTCACATAATCGGTGGACCGAGATTTGACGTAACGTTAACGCTGGTGGTTTTATGATCATTGAAGAGAACGCAATTGCGATAGTGTTTAAAAGAATCGAAACCAAAGTTAGACGAGTTAGAAGAAATTGACTTAGTCACGGTCATTGCTAATGCTGGCAGCATTGGTGTGGCAGGAGGGCCGCTAGTGGTAACTAGTTGGGTTTCATCTGGCATTATTTCTTATTAGGTCCGACTATCTCAAGTGTTTTATGAGTAGAGTTAGTCTGTGTGCTTTGTGTTGAGCATGGTGATTCACTTCACTTTCCCTCTCAACACAGATTCACTCTTCATTCGTTTACACATTTAATTTGTTTACTTCGTAAGTTTGGCAAAGATCATCCAACTCCACTTCACTGTGTTTCGCTGTTCGATAGTTGCACATGCATCTCAATACACGGTGTTCGGGAATCAGATAAACGCTTTGGGAAACCTATTTTCTCTCGTAAACTTCTAAAGTGAAACTCATTGTTTTCTGCCCCCGATTACTTTGTTTGTTACTACTTGCTGCTCAGTTAATTTGCACATAGTTTGGTGTTCTGAAAGCAAATGCATCATTCCACATTTCTTAACATTTGTGCTTTCTAGGGCATATTGCGATAAACATCACATGAAGACTCTAAATACGGCCGATTTTGGAAAGGTAATGAAACGTGCTTTCCCCAACGTAAAACCGCGACGTCTGGGACAACGTGGTCAGTCCAGGTAGGCCTGTTCTCTCACACAATTCTAAACATTCATTGTCCAGGATTGGTATTTGATATTTTCGTTTAAGTAAATTGAAATAGCCCATTGGTTTGTCATTAAGTTGTATTTTTTCCACATATTTCTTTTCGCTGTTTTCTGGTCATTTTCTATTCTGTTATTTTTGTAAGGTTCACTGGACCGCCTTTGTCCCATTTTTCATAACTAATAAAACAGTCTACGTCGGCGCGCTTTCAGGGTGCTTAAGTTGTACTAGCATATTTCCTGAAACTTGTCGATAAATTGATATAAAAAAATTCATTTTGGATTCAAAGGATTTTTAAGTCTCTTCTACTTCTGTCATCCTAAACCAAGACAAAGCGTTTCTTATAATTTTAATCAGCC